TATCCTTTGACTATCGTTTGACTAGTAGATTGTCATTGGTTCATTTAAAATAGTTGAGAATTGACATATTATTGTTTTGAAAAATTTTGAAAAAACATATTTAACTGGAAAATGTGGTAAATTCTGTGCAGTGAGAATCCTCAGTATTTAAGGGATTTGCTGTCAACTTAATATGGCAGACTTATAGCAATTTGGCAAATCTGCCAAATTAAAATGGCCACCAAATTAAGTATGAATCTAAAAGAATGTCTTCAGTACATAGTTGTAAGAATTTAGAAATCCAAGAAGTATCATCAGGGTGTATGATCTGTGAATAAGTTTTAATCTCTCATATATTCTCCATGTATTACCACCCTACCCCTAGTTGAAAGGGTGGTGCTGCATTGCACAAAAACCTGATGTAAAACTAGCCCCTTATGTTTCCAGATTTGACCAATGTATGAGATGTATCAAATCATTCGTAATATGCTTATTAATAAGAACATTTTGAACTTGCTATTTCACTGTATTAGTCCATTACAATGATCTGAGAATGATATTCCAGTGCTTTATTTTGAGCAATGTACTCAGAATTATATGTCTCAATTTAAATGATATTAGATTTTAGAATTATTTTACTGTATTAGTTGGAGAAGGGTTTTAATTCTGATATTCTATCTTTTACAATATAAACTTCAACAACAAGATTTGAATATTGTATTTAGAACTCCAATTGTATTAGTTCGCGAGGAGCAGTATTGGGAGATACAAAGTATGAACAAATGTACATATCACATTTTATTTTATTGTCTACTTGTGTATTAACATTTACTTTGAGGGTTCCTTACTTTAAAGGCTGTTATTTATCTTACTTGACAAGAACTAATGCACTTAAAACTAATGAATGAGTGTGAATGAATTGATTTATGAATCAAACTGCAAGAAATAATTACATCGAGTAGTGCCATTTACTGAACAAAATTTACATTTTTATTGTTACTTTAAATTCTATAATTATAAAAATCTTACAGGAATATAACATTTTTTGTGTATAAAATGAGTTTTAACTCATAATATAGGAATTTTTCTTTATTGTACATTATTCATTACTGTCTCGACTTCATTTTATAATTATTTTATTCGTAGTAGACAGAAGAGATGGATTTTAAATTATTGACTGTTGTGGACAAACATAATGACTTTTGATAAAGGAATATTCATCAATGGCCACAATTTCATTTTATAAATTGGTGGATTTTTGCAAACAAGAGATGAATTTTTTTTTGAAATCCAAAATTATTTAATTTAGTTTTCCACAACTGTTTATAATTTGATAGCCCTACTCTTAATGATTATTCCGAGATACACCTGCCCAGATGTACATTACAAGTGATATGTTTATTAAATATATAAATGACCTATTATGATAGATTGTTTAATTCAATTTTATGTATTTTTCTAAGTTATTTGTTAGATTAATACATCAAAAATGATTGTACAATAATTGTAATCTCAATCATTTTTGAAGTTTTAAACACTAACAACATTATACATGTTAGATTAATCAGAGGCGTAGTGTGGGTATTTTGTGAGAGTACGCCACGAGTGAGCGAAGCGAACGAGTTCGAGGGGGGTTTGGGGGGGGTTCTCCCCCAAGAAAATTTTAAAATGAGATTGCATTTGAAGCGTCCTGGGTCGGTTTGAAATACGAAATTCCGACTTAATCTGGACCAATTAAATGTAAATTATTAGTCTTTTTTATCCAATATACATGTACGTACGCTAACGAACGTAAAGAAGCTCGCAGCGCAGCCGTGCAAAAATATATGTATTTCAGAGAGAAAATTTAGATTATTACAACACAATTAAAAAACAAACAACACAGGATTAGAACAAATAATTTATTTGTTTTCATATATGATTGTTACTGTTACTTTTATCTTACTATTTAAGATCTATCCAGTATTTTTAAAGTGCGGGGCAATTCATTATAAAAAATCATTTTTCTCTCAAATTTGAGAGTACGCAATGGCGTTTTTTGCGTATATGACGCTACGCCATTGTTAATGATATGAAGTGATTCAGCTGCTGAACAACAAAATGCAATTTCTTAATTGTTTTGGTTGTTGCCTTTTGTTGAAATGATAAATGTGTGGTATGATAAGACTCCAGATTGGAACTGAGACTAAGTCTTGCTTTTTACATCATAGTAACTTTTAAAATTTCAACATCTTCTTAACTCACTTTATTCTTCATCTGATTAGACTTGTATACACAAATGCAAAGAGCTACCGGGTTGATTGCAATTAAGTGGCAAACTCATTTAAATATGAATAGTACCTGCTGTGCATCCCGTTAGTTGCCAGCTCTCGCCTAAAAAGCAATAGGTGACCTAAATAACGATTTAATCTGCAATTAACACCAACTATAACTGTGTTCAGAATTGTAAATAGCGGCGCATATATGCAAAATTGACCAATTTTTTCAAAATCATAGATACAAGTTATCAGAAGTTCAAATCTGACTTTAGAATTGAGATTTGACCTTCGATGACCTTCTCAAGGTCAAAAAGGTATTTTTTCAACTGCTTCAAATTGACCATTTTTTCAAAATCATCTACAAGTTCCCAACAGTTCAAATCTGACTATAGATCTGACCATCAATGACATTCTCAAGGTCAAAAAAGATTTTACCTTCGATGACATTCTCAAGGTCAAAAAGGTTTTTTTCATCTTGCTTCAAATTTACCAATCTTTTTTTCAAAATCATCCAAAAGTTCTCTGAAGTTCAAATCTGACTTTAGATTTGAGATTTCACCTTTAATGATCTTCTCAGGGTCAAAAGAAGTCTTTTTTCAACTTGCTTCAAAGGATAGGTATCGATATGGAGAACTGAATTCAACAATGTTTTTCTCTTAAACCAATCATTGAAAACATTCTGTAAAAAAACATGGTATTTTATTTATTTATTTATTTTTTCAAAATCATCTACAAATCAAGTTGTCAGATATTAAAATCTGACTTAAGATTGAACAAATAATATTGTGAGTATGCAACTAGATGTTGACATTTTGTCATGTAAATGCCTTTTTTCAATTTCACTATCTCAACTTCAGTTCTTGAAAAGCTTTTACCATGATTCTATTTCTATTTGAAAGCTGATAGATGATTGTTTATTATAAGGCAGCGAAGATCTTTTGAGAAAGAAAAGTGACAATTTATTACAAAATGTCAAAAATTGACACCCCCTAGGTCACATTGACCTTAACTTGATCTATATTGACCTACTTTTTTAAGAAAATAAAAGTTTCTGAAGAGGTAATAGTGGTAATTGAATAAGGTTTACAACAATACCAACAATAATGAAATCAGACGTGTAATAATAAATTGCAGAGGGGGCGGTGGTCCAAATGACCCCCTCATTGCGACTTCATGTTATAAAAAAAGGTTGCAGACATAGACAGAGATTTAATAGTCTGAACATTCCGTCTGTCCATCCGTCTGTCTGTCAGCACATTGGTAGCTTATTCAAAATCCTCCACGACAATTAGAATGGTTTCACTTTTAAAATGTGTTTATATAAGGTTGTCAATTGTTCCATAAGTGGCGGTCATTTTTATGGCGTAAAAATCAGGTTTTCAGCTCTTTTTGATAATAACTTCACAAGTTTTCCACCAATTTGTTTGAAATTGCACAGGTACTTTAATTTTTAGGTTATCAATAAGGCCTACAAGTTTTAGAAAAATAAGTTGCAAAGATTCAAAATGGCCGCCACTTTTATTGCGAAAAACTAAGGTTTTCAGCTTGTCTTTGGTCATAACGCCATAAGTATTCCATTAATTTGCTTGAAATTGTACAGGTACCTTTATTTCTAGATTATCAACAATGTCTACAAGTTTCGGCAAAACACGTCGCAAAGATTCAAAATGGCCGCCTCTCATATTGCAGAAAAATCAGGCTTTTAGCTCTTTTTATCATAACTTCACAAGTATTCCATTAATTTGCTTAGAATTGTACAGGTACTTAATTTCTAAGTTATCAATAATGTCTAGGCCTACAAGCTTCAGCAAAATATGTCACAAAGATTCAAAATGGCTGCCAATTTTATTGTAGAAAAATCAGGTTTTCAGCTTTTTTGTCATAACTTCACAACTATTTCATCATCAATTTGCTTGAAATTGTACAGGTACCTTGATTTATAGGTAATCAACACTTTGTTTACAAGTTAGCAAAATATGTTGCAAATTTCAAAATGGCCGCCACTTTTATTGCATAAAAATCAGGTATAAAGCTACCTTTTCGTGTGCTTGTGAAATTCCTCTGTTCTAACTTCATTATAGAAAATGGTATTTTCATTTCAGCTAGCCAAGTATTTCTTCAAAATTATTATCAACCTTTCATAATGTGCAAAAAACTTATTTTAAGCTCCTACTGTAAAATATTAAATATATTGAAACCTTCCTATGTGAGCGCAGTACCCATGGTACTTTTCATTTACATAAAGCCGCCAAAGTGGTTTAAACTTTATATGGGGACTTTAAGTATGACTTCATTATACTCAAATGAAAGGCAATTTAGAGTTAAGATTGCAAATATTGTATTAATTTTCTGATTCAGGTCTCGTAAAATTCAAAATGGCTGCCTAGTGCCCAATGCAGTATTTTGCAAAAATTTTCTGATTTCTTCAAAGTACAAGCTATATTGTATTCATATTGAAGGAATTTGAAAGTATTGTTTTTCTGATTTCTGCCTCAAATATTGTATTGTCTTTAGTATCTGTGTCTTTGAATTTAAACTCCAAAACGGTTAATGCTTAATTTGATGGCAATTCAGATATATCTCATATGTATGTCTGCCAATTTTAATCAAGGTTATAGTATATACTAAATCTTTCATTGTGACATGTACAGATTCATGTACAGTATATGGTGTTTGTTGGGATTCGCTACTCCAAGGAGTTGCCGATTACTAGTTCAGTAATATTGTGTAATATGTTACAATTTTGATAGCTTTATGGAAAGTTTCTGATTGATAGTCATTTACCTTCTGTTAATGAATCAGAATCATTCATACATTAACCACGTTAATATTTATTGGAATTTGAACCAGGGACTAACATATCTCAAGATAACGTATGCTGGTTGATACTAACGTCAAAACTAACACTGTTTGAATCATTCAGATTAATATATTTAAGCCCTCTGACCAACTCTATTTATTCACATTACAGAAGAAGCGTGGATATGACTGAACCAGCTATACAGTACCAGCCGGGGCAGCAACCCCCACCCCAAGGCTATGCCCAGGGGTATGCACCACCCCAGCAATATGGTATGTTTATATATGTATTTTTATTTCACAACATGCGTTTTTATTTAGTTAAAAATTAGCAATGTCAGTGTGTAGGTTGTGTAACTTGGTCTTTAAAATGTTTACATTTTTTATGTTAATAAAATAATTGTAACATTAACCTATTTACAAAATTTGAGGTCATAACACTTATATGGAATGATGAACCCTTTCTAAAATAAAATTAAAATTTATCAAGTGCTAAAGAAACATAAAAACCCTGCGTGCAGAGTCTAGTTAGAAACTACCTGTTGCATTCTTTTGAGCTTCGTCTTTGGTAGATTATAACTAGACTGCGCGCAGGTATGCGAAGCTCTTTTTTAAAAAGTAAGGTCAAACTAATGTAAAAGGTAAAAGAAACACAAAAGCACACAAAAACATACCCCTTGCAATAATAGAAATATGTATACTAATTAGGAGGCTATTGGAATAAATACAATTAATGTTGTGAAATGATGGCAAGAGTTTTTTTGAATTCCTGCATTTGCTCATGAGCTCACAGGTGAATGGACTCCCTTGTTACCATGGCAACTCATTCTCTGATTTACCAAATGTTCAGACAAATATGAAAAGATACATGGCAAAGTTAGAATTGAAAACTAATGCTGTCCACCAGTTCATTAATATTGCAGTAGTACAAGCCACAATGTGAACTCAATGTAAAAGTTTAAAGAGCCTTAGCTGATATTCATCATCCTAGAAAATTACCCTAGAAAATTCATAAAAATATGTGACTTGGGCAATCAATAGACTTAAACTGAAACCTTTTTTCTGCGTTAACAAACCTTGAGAAAAATCATTTTTGTACTAATTTGATAAATTACCTTTAAAAATTTAATTAGGTCCAAGTATAGTTATTTCAATTTGAAACTTATACAGCTCATTAGATAAGGAATTGCTTTCAAGCTTTGATATTTCAGAAAATGAAGTTTGTACCAAATGATGAATTTATTCCATTGATGGTGAAAGTAAGAGGCTATTTAGGATCAGAATTACTGACTCTGCCCTTTTGATAAACAGTAATTTACTAATAATTGTCTAATCAATGAAAGTCCCAATATTATACTTTGTTCACAAACAAAATATGGTTTCTATTGACTGTAAAGACTATAGCATATATGATTATTATTTAAAGTAGGGATTGCCTAAGTCAGATAAGATAGGATATTATTTGTTGTTGTTCTAAGCATACTGTACTTTAGACTATAATCTGCCAGCCTAGTAAAATGCAACATATATTGTAATTGTAATAGTGCATGTAGTAATTAAATCTGCTATTATGTTCAGAAGCACTCGTTGCCATAAGTCGCGCCCTCAAAACCCGGGTTTGCCGTCATCCAAACCCGCCTTTGCAAAAAAAACGAACGGTGCATTATTTGACTCGTTCGTGTTATTTTCGAGAGTTTTCAAACCAGAATTTTCATTGCTTTTATTAGAAGGGTTCCTCGTAATTAACTCTTAACTATGGATATGTTGACTTAAATGCAACTGACTTTTAAAGAGATGTTTTGCGCATAGGGTTATGAATGAAGTAACTAGTATGATGAACAAGCTCACTGGCGGATCTGGGGGAGGGGGGGAGACAGCCCCCCCCCCTCCTTGGGTGGGCCCAGAAAAAATTAAGCCCCAAAAAGCCCAAAACGAGTGGGCCTTTTTTGGGCATTACTGGGCCTTTTTTACTGTTTTGTCAGCCTTGAAATTTGCACCCCCCCCCCTCCCCCTTTGTTGGTTTCTGGATCTGCCCCTGAAGGCAGTGGCCCTGAAGGCAGTGGCCCTGAAGGCAGTGGCCCTGAAGGCAGTGGCCCTGAAGGCAAGGGGGGATTTTAGTCTGTAAAAAAATTTCTTAGCTTGCACCCTTAAAACCAAAAATTGGGTCCAATTTTTAAAACAAAGTTAAGGCCCATTTTGATAAATTGGCCAAAAATGCCCTATAATGGCCAAATTATGCCCAAAATACCCATTTCTGAAGGCCTTCCCAAAAAATTTGGGTCCAAAAAGTTAAAAAAATCTGGGGGGAGCAGGTCCTAGTGTTTTTTTAGTGCAATTAGTAAATACATTGCCAGGTTTGTGAAATGGATTAATTTTAGCAAAATGAAGTATATCTGTTGGCACAATCAAGCACAATTGTCACAATCAATCTCTATCTAAAATCACTATATCATGTCATGCCATATCATGATCAAATCCCTTCAAGAGATCTTTTTATTGGGTCTAGTAATGCAAATGAGGAGTTGTACATTTAAAATTGAATCATGTTAATGGGAATGAATTGAAGAGATGAAGAGAACATTAACAAGTAAATACAATATCAAGTCATTTGGGAGTTGAACCCAAACCAAAGAATATTACTTCCTTGGTGAAGCCCACACAACTTTGAACAATATTGTAAAAACACATTTATGTTCATTTTTGACAAACTTGCCCTCTGCTTTTACAAGGACTTGGGACCTTCTAGCTAGGCTAGGTAGCATTACAAGTTTGTCGGTCTTCACTCTTCACTAAACTTGGACACTCTATTGCTTAGTGGCTTTGCCGTCCATCTTGTTCTTCTCCACTCTTTTCCTATAGGATTTTGTACTCCTGGGTATCGCGACTTTAGGAACAAAGGCCAGATTAACCAGGACACAGCTAGTCCCTGGAGTAGGAGCAATCATAACATACCTTGGAGCAGGAGCTGGAGGAGCACTTGCACTGGAGGTGAATGAAATCAAGTTGGAAGTTGGTTGAGGTTGAAAGGCAAGAGAATCAGGAAGAATCCTCCTGTTCACTCGTGACATTCCTTCACCAGCTGTGTTCTTGGGAAGATCGAACATGTGGGGATCATCCACGTTGACTGAGGGCAATGCTGCCACCTTCTTGTCCTACGGGAAGGGATCTGCTGATGAAGCACTTGCACTTGACAGGGGTATCCTATCCTAGAGTGTTTCACCAGTTTCAACTAATTTTTCAAATCAAGATGGAGTTTTGCCTAGTTGGTCTCCTGGTAAGGAGACCATTTTTGTGCTTGCTTTCCTCCACAAGGAGATCAACTGGGCAAAACTCCATCTTGATCTGAAAAAACGTTAACAAGACACACAGTGATAAATATCGCACTTTGAAGAGCAAACTGGCCACCATGCAATTACCCAGCATGGCCAAAACCTAATCAGACCTTGGCACTAGTCTGCTCTTGCATCTGTAAACATTTAAAGTTGACAAGGTTAGCGGTTTTCCTGCAATTTTGATGACAAGAATTTATTTGTAGTCTTGAACTTTGGGAAAATTTAGATAACATTGTTTGTGACCTAATTTGATGACCTTCGACCTTGAAAATTTCCTAAATTTAAATCCAAAATATCAATTTAGAAAATCAACTTTTTTGACCTTTTCAAGGTCACTGAAGGTGAATGAAAGGTCAAATCTGTTACCTAGTTTAATGACCTTCACCTTCGACCTTGAAAATTTCATTTTATTTTTATATCTATTTTTCCCCATCAAGGTATGATGTAAATGACATGCTATTTACATCTTGTGAGTTTCAATGACGCGCGTTTAATTTTATAAAAAATGCCAAACTTTGTGACAAAGAATTTCATCACCTATTGTCTTCTCGCTGCAAGCAGGATGAAATTCTTTGTCACAAAGTTTGGCATTTTTTATAAAATCAAACGCGCATGATTGAAACTCACAAGATGTAAATAGCATGTCATTTACATCATACCTTGATGGGGAAAAATAGATCTTATATGTTAGAAGTACTAAATAAAAGTTATCGTGAAAATGAGACAGTCGTTCTCGAGAGAAAAGAGCATAAATGCGCATTTAGAGAGTTTTGGTCCATTTAAAAATCTGTAAAAAATTGGGGTACTTAAAAGCATCGGGAGGCATCATATATTTCAAATTAGACACGAGGAAGTCAATATTGAGCAAGTTATGGCTATTTTAAATTCAAATAAAACCGTTAACCTGTACCGGTCCAGCTTTTGACCCGTACCGGTCAATTTTCGTTAGCTGCGTATACCAAGGGTGAAACATAAAATTTAATTTATCTGCTATATATATTATAAGACCCATCAAAGCAGTATTCACATATGCTAATATTTAAAAAATTCTCTGAGACAGTCTGCATTGTCAGACACTACAAAATTATTTATCAAATAGATAAAGGCCCCATGTCAAGTTTGGATATATAGTTTTAATCATTTAAATATTACTTTTAATGACTTAAAAAACTATTTAGATAGGTTGCTCACTTTGTAATTTTCAAATATTTGAATTTTAAATGGGGCCTTTAATTTCTTCAGAATATTCCAAATAAGAAACTCACCTGGTATGATTGTGAAAAGACCCAAGCGATGTTGAGCCCCGGGGACATCTGTAGATGGGAAGTGTTACCCTACCTTTCACTAATGTCCCAACCTCCATGTACAGAGGAACAGGTTCTCAGATCTAGGTCCAGAAGTTGTGCTCGATAGTATTGCGTCCATCTCTACCTTTAAAGGTATTGAATGCTTAAAATAATTATCCAACCTTGGGGGACTTTGGGATTTGGGAAACGATTGAAGGACCACATCTCCTGTTGCTTGCAGCAGCTCTGTATCTGTCACATCATCTGTGAAAAGATCCTCTTGCTGCCCTTTCTTCACTCCACTGTAAATAAAATAGGTCCATTTCAAAAGATTAATGTGAAAAATATGTATTATGATGAGTATAACATACAATGCATTTGCCAGTTTGATCACTTGTGTGCAACAAAGGGTTAGGCTGACCTGAGTGGAAAACTCTGGAGAAGCCCCTAGGATCATTAAGTGCACTCATTAATAAAATCATTATATCGGACTCAAGATATTATTTGATTTTTAAGATATGTTGACAGGCAAGAGGCAATTTTCATGCACCTGTTGTTTTCACAAAATCGCCTGTTGTTTTCAGGGATTTTTCAACTTTTCCATGTTAAATTTATGATATCCATAAATTTTTCCTGTTTTCTTTTATTTAGCCTG